AGTACTTATATAATAACAGAAATCAAAACCTCCACATTTTATTGGTAAAACTAAAAATATAATAAAAACTAGGTATAATTTTTTTGTAATACAGGTGTAATGATAGAAAATTCCCCCTTTTGGGGATAACATTTTGTTTCTAGTGGTTTTCAGAGTTTAGTGTACCTCAGTATCAAAATGCAAATGTTCTTTTGTAAACAGCATTTTTAGCTCGTGATCCACAAACATAGAAAATGGCTAGATTACCCAGCAGGCTGGAGTTTTTCTCCGGTGCTAGACTAATAGGGATCTTAGATTCCCTTTTTAATTGTTTGCTTTTTAAAATAAAATATATCCTGAATGATGATATGAAGACTTCAATTTCAGGCTTCCCTGACACAAGGAGTTAAGTCGCAGCACTATGATGCTATCCATAGCCACTGCAACATGAGTTCAATCCCCCACCAGGGAGCTAACCCACATGGCACAGCAGACCTCTCCTGTCTCACCCACTGCTCCCCTTAGCAGTGTAATTAAATAGATCTGCCTGTTCTGCTCCCCACTTTTGTCTCTGGTGAGTTCTCTAACCCCTACCCCCCGAACCTCTGGCCTGTCTGGATGCCAGTTCTTGTATGCGTAAATATATCTTTATGAAAAAAAAAAAAAAGAGAGATTTGGTTCCACTGGTGTCATTTTCATAGAAAATTTAGAAATAACCTTCACTTCAGCGCCTAGTTAAATTGCTATGAATTTCAAGTTAAGGGGCATGGATTAATAATGCCCTACTATAATTTGTTTAATGTTAGCAGTAGCAACTCTGCAATTACTTCACTCCAGGAATAAAATCAAACCAAATAATTATTACTATTACATCTCATTTATAACTAAGAACAGATACACTAATAAGACAGGATTCTTACAGAGCATTTTAGAAGACAGAGGTAATTATTAGTGTATATTACTAAAGACACATTATATAAAATGCTTGCTTATTTCATTAAACCACAGTCTCTAAAATATGGGGTTTGGGGTAGTATACATAGTAATTCTGACAAAGTAAACAAAATTTCATATTTATATTTATAGAAATATTACAAAGCATTATTTTGATAATTTTTACATTTAGAAGAGAATGAAAATACCAAACCCAATTCAGAACTTCAAATGAAGCATTTAATCCACTATTTCATTAGTTAATGAATTCATAATACAAAGTAAAAAATTAGGATTTCAGGTTTCATACTACTTAAGATTCAATACATTATAAATGACTTCTTAGAAGTGTTTAACTTGCCTATTCATACCATGATTTTAAAAAATTTTAACTGTTTCTCTCCAAAAATGTTTAAAGTGACTATATTGGCAAATATAAATTCTAGAGCATTAATGTTAATCAAATAGCATTTATCAGTGTACTTGGAGAATACAAAACAAGCATCAAACATTTTTTCAAAGTTTTGATTTTAGAAATAAAACTTGAAATACTAGTAGAGTATATAAAGGCTATTTCAAAATAACACTATTACTAAACTCAAGTATTTGGAAGACAAATCTTTGAAAGAAAACATGTATGTATATATATTCTCATCTCTTTTAAACAAAATTCATTTTAAAATTCAGTGTAGTTTTTGTTCTGTATCTAGGGAAACTTCCATTTTCTTTTTGCAATTACTTGTACTTCAGACTAGCCATAAATTAACAATTCAAGGAATCAAAAGAAGAAAGAGTTTGGAATTCTACTAAAGCATAGGCTTCCTGTACTGTACAGATTTGGTATCATATCCTGGATACACAATTAACAGCTGTAATATACTGGGCAAATTATTTAATCTCTCTGAAACTTAGCTTGTTCATATATCAGGATAAAACCTACTCTGTAAGATTGTGAGAACTGAGACACACACAATGGGATATACCAGATGAGAAAGTGACTTACCACAACCATTCTGGAAAATGATTTGGCATGACCTAGAAAAGTTGAACATCTGAATGCCCTATGGCCTAGCCATTCCAATCCCAGATATATTTACTTTAGATCTGCACTGTCCAATATAGTAATCACTGGCACTTGAAATGTGGGTAGTGCAACTGTGGAACAAGAATTTTTATTTAATTTAATTTTAACTAACTAAATTTCAAATGGATTCTAAAATCAGTCATTAAAAATTTTCAAGTGTGTTTGGGTGAATTGGGTATAAAAATTTTTGTTATTCAACTGTAAGTTCTAACTATAAACTCTTCAAATATTTTTATTTATGGGCCCTCCCTGGTAGCACAGCAGGTTAAAGCACAGCACTAAGAAGCTAAAGCATGAGTTTGATCCCCAGACAGAGGGGTGACCCATATGGCGTGGCAGACCTTTCCTGACCGCCTGCTGCTGCCCTCAGCAGTGTACTTCATCATTCAGCCTGTTCTACCCCCTTCCCCCAATCCTCTCACTGCCCCTACACCCGTTCTGTATGCATAAATAAATACATCTTTAAAAAAATTTATTTACAAAACAGCATACATTATGTAAGTATAAAACACTGATTTTGAAGAGAATATAAAGAAAATATAAACCTCTTTGGTAGTTTTTTTTAATAACAGTTTATTTTTACATCATTTTGTACAGTTTTTAAAAATCTCAATTGTAATCCCCATGGGTTTTTTTAAATGCTGATTTTATCTTAAAAGTAATATTTTGAATTACTGTATTGGATGACATGTCTTAATTTTATGTCTTAATTTTTTTACTTTTTAATGTGGCTACTTGAAAATATGTAATTACAAACGTGGTTTGTATTAAATTTCCACACACATGCTACAGCACTGTTCCAGACAAACTCTTGCATATGTATAACAGCTGTTTTTTATAAGACTCTTTTTAGCTACATTGTTTTTGTTAGTCCCAAGCTGTAAACAATACAAACACCCAACAATAAAATGGATTATTTATGTTAATAATCACACTATAAAATAGGACACATGAAAAACTAGATGTGAGCACATGAATGAACATCGCATATGAGCAAGGGAATAGTCAGAAGTAGATACATACACTTTGATCCCATTTCTATAACTTGCAAAATCTAATAATTTATTTTTAGGGATTTATTAGAGGTGGAACTTAAAGTAAAACTAGTTCTTGTTGAGGTAGATGGACTCAGAATAATTTATACAGCTTCTAAGGCAGTGTTTTTCAAGTTTAAGTTATTGTACCTGGAATTTTGTGTGGGTTTTTCCCCCCCTTATCATGTTCTCATGACCCCTTTCCCATAAGATTTTAATATCACAGATATCTTGTATATATGTTTACACACAATGGCTCTTTGGAGGGGCCCCCCAAGACCAATTTTCACCTCCTTGAAGAGCGATCAACTGTTGAGAATGCAAGTTCTAAGTTATTGGCAATGCTTTCTTTTCTAACCCGAGAGATAGTATACAAGTACTTGTATACTTAATTATAACCCTTTAATGTCCTTACGTTTTATACACCCTCCTTTTATGTGTACTTCACAATAAAACTGAAAGTTGATAATGTGCCCTAAATTATGCCAGGACTCAACAACCAGTGATTATTTCAGTTCCAGAGCTGTTCAAACAAGAACAGCAAGGGAATTCGATCAAAAAAGACAGAATAGTAATCATGACATTTAAAAAGGCTATCTACCTATGGCTGGAGTGAACATCTATAAAATTGGAGATCAACCTCCATAAGGAGGTTGACACTTTCCCTAAGAAGGAAATTTAGGCAAAGTGCCACTTAGCCAACAAGTAATTTTCCAGGTTACTAAAGACTTGCAACTATACACTCCAATTTCTCCATATTTTAAAAGTTGTTAATATAAGAACATTAGAAAATAAAAGACAGGGCCCTCCCTGATGGCACAACGGGTTAAAGCACAGCACTATGAAGCTATTGCAGCCACTGCCGCATGAGTACGATTCCCCAGCCAAAGAGGTGACCCACAGGGCGCGGCAGACCTCTCCTGACCGGTCCCATGCTCCTCTCAGCAGTGTACTTCAGTAGATCTGTCTCCCCACTCTGTCTCTGATGAAGCCTCTCACCCCTGCACCTCTGCCTGTACCCCCAGTTCTATTTATTTATGCATAAATAAATCTTAAACAAGACAAATGCACTTTCAGTATCCCTTCCAGTCCCTACACCTATGTACATGCAATTTGAAATAACCAGTCTAAAAAACTAGAGGTGACTGTGTATCCTGCCTTATTATACTTTGAACTGTATCATAAACAACGATATTCGAAAAATTTTACTTAAAAACTATAGCAGGCATTACAATCCTTATTTCGCAAATGTTCGACGTGGGGGCTCTGCTTTTATTCGAGTCAAAATTAAACAACAATAACAACAAAAAATCAGGGCGGATGGGGGCACAGCTTCTGGACTTAAAGCAACAGTAACCCTCAATGCATCCTGCTACCTACAAACACCCCTCAACGTCCCAAGGCTTCAGAGTTCTCTACCGTTAGTTCTTCGATCTCCTTCCTTCTTGAGCCCCACCTCGCATCACCCTTCTCCATTTTGTCTCTTCTTGTCTACAATTCCCAGAATAGAGCCTCATTCTTATTCGCAATGCAGAGGTCTCCCACCAATTGTCATTTACCTGATGGCAATCTGACCTCTCAGGACACTCAATATTCACCCCTCCAGCCGGAGCCAACAGGAAACGGAAGTTGTCCCTCGAACATCTTACGTCAAGGAAGCAGAGACGCCACTTAACGTTCCGGTGGTGGGTCACAGATTCTTGGATCCAATGGGAATGACATGGAAGAGGATGGGAGCCGACACTTCCCTCCCCCGCATCTGTGCATTGGTAGCCTGAGGAAAGAGAAATTGTGCAGAATAGGCGGGTGGGGGGGAGGTCCTGTTTCCCTTGCTTGGAGACCGGAATATTTACACACTGCACCGAGGGGGCGGGCCGCGGACATCCCGAAGCCAATAAGTGGGGCTGTTGTTGAGAGTGTGGCATCACCCAATGGAAGGGCTGGTTGTTGCGCTGCAGTTGGCAGGCTGCTGCGGGAGGCGGTGGCGGCAAGAAGCCGGAGGCAGCGGGGTGACAGGTAGGCGGCGGTGCTGTCTTTGGGGAACGCAGAGTGCTAGATCTGGAGGGATTTTTTTTTCTTCTCCGCCTGCAGGAACTATGGAGGGGAGCTGGTGAGGGGAGTCTGGGAAGGCGGTAGCCCAAGTGTTGGTGGTTCCAGAACCTCCGACCAGGTAGCTGCTGAAGAGGGTCGTGAGAAGGCAGCTAGGCGGGGGGGTGGAGGGTGAGCCCGGTGGGGCGACGTGGGGGCCTCGGGCGCGGGGGCCTGCGGTGGCGCGGGCAGAGAACGGAGAGGCGGGAACTAGGTGGTGTGGCGAGGACTGGAGGGTTCGGTGCACGGGGCTCCAGAGAGAAAAAGGACGCGGCATTGCAGGCACCTACAGAAATCCTAGGACATGCCTCTTAGGGCCGTTTCTGCCGGTGGCAGCAGCGAACCGATCAGCTGGCGGTCCGATCCTTGAAACTCTTTATAGCTATGTACATTATGTAATCCTTGGCTGTTTTTTATTCAAAAAACTAGGTTGTCCCTCCTGGAAGAGGAGGTCTTGTAACCTATTGTGGGATCAGAATAGTTTTTTCGTTGTCTTGAGCGCTTCTACCCCAACAAGCTCTGCAGGCGAAGAAGCTAGAAGGATAGAGGAGTCACGAAGAGTTTATCCCAAATATGGGCTTGAGAGATAGGCTAGTTTGAGATGAATGTGACCAGCTTCATGTTTTGTTCTTCAAGAATTTGTTTTGAAGGTCAAAGCTCACAAATACTTTTTTTAACCTTCAGGTGAGTGAACAACCTAAGAAATCTGTAGTAGGAGGTAAGTGCACCATGGAAAGTGACTAGAAAATGATTTGGTAGATACTTCCCCTCCTAGATATTGTGAGTGTTAAGGTGGTGGTCTGATTGGGAAGAAATGCCTTTTTTTTTTTTTAATTTGTTCATAAGTCTGAGAAGCTAGTTACGGTTATCTATTTCTTAGATATAAAAGTAAGTATCTTTGAGCCTTTCCATCTGAGGTAAAATTTATTTACAGACATAATTTAAATCAGCTTTTTTCTAAGCTTTTAGAATCCATTGTATAATGAAGTGTAGAAATAAAGTAGGCATTTCTTTCAGTAAGTGTTATGAAAGAACAAACTGCATAAGAAATTTAATTTTATAGTTCATTGGAAACAATTTTAAAAGAAACATAAAATTGCTAAAATGCAGGCTGCTTGAGATGTTGCCTTTAGCTCAGTAGATAAATAATAATGGTAGTATTAGCAAGTGTGTAATTTTCCTGTGTTTGTTTTAATACTGCTGGTCAGAAAAGCTTTCTGAGATGTGATTTTTTTTCCCCCTGTTAACAGCAATTTATGTTTAGTATGACCCAGCACCTAAATAAAAATTTGTAATTTTTTCCTCCTCTAAGCAATATTTCGTAGAGTTGTATTGTTAGAGTTTGTTGTTCAGAAACATTTAGAAAACTGAGATATTTATCACAGCTTCAGATACAGACTTTGATTTGGCAGTTCATTTTTTGTCTTTTTATCCTTTTCCAAGAATGATATTATCTCGGTCACAAAAAATACTTCTGTTTTAGGTATTAAGTACTGTGGTTGAATACCTGGGAACAAATCTTTGCTTTTATGTGGTAAAGTGTGTGTGTGTGTGTGTGTATGTATGTGTGTATTCTTATTATTATGTAACCATCCTGTTAGAGCTGTCTTAGAGAACTAATGGCTGATTTTCAGTGGCCAGTAGGTGTCATTGTAGAATGCAATAAAGTTGAACAGAGTAAGAAATTAACCAAGTGATTTAAGAAACACTATTCTAAATTAGACCATAATTGACTGATTACTTACAGGCCACTAGAAGTCCTCTTTTCTGACACATTTCGGTATTGGAAGTGCTTATGGGAATTTGAAATAGTGTTTAGAGAGAAGTGTGGTTGTACTTAAAATCAGCCTTGAAAGTAAACTGTCTTGACATGCAATATGGATTTAGGTTTTTTTAATACACATTTTTGGCATATAATGTTAGTTTATTAAGTCCTTGAATGATTAAAATATTCAGCTTGATTGAGCTTTTAGTAGAATATAGAAAGCTATATAACGAAAAGCTAAAATGATAAAGCATTGGCAGAAAGTCTCCAAACAAATTATCCATCCAAAATATTATTTTGTTACTGTTCTTTTAATGCTAGAACAAAGCAGTATTTGTTTTCTCATTGTGACTTCTTAGTTTTTTAACATTCAAAATAACTTCTTTTGACATTTTTATCTGACTAGTAGGCTATGTACTTTTCTCAGGATGATGACCTGAACATTTGTCACTGTCCAATAAGTAATGGACTCTGGAGCGAGCTGACACAGAACGCCCAGTGCAGCCCCTTAACTGGCAGAGCCACCTACTGAACTCTTGTTACTTTGTGGTTCTGCTGCTCTGCTGTTGATAAGTATTAGAAAAGAGACTTAATTCAGGAATTCTCCTGACAAGTGGAGATGTTTTTATATATAGCTACATGATATAGGTAGGAATCATAGTAATTTTAACAGGAGTTTTTAAAAGATACATATAAATAACCATGATAGCATTCTACTTCCTTTCAGAATCTTAGTGAAGGGAAATATAAGAAGTGGTAAATATATTTTGACGAAAAACAAATTTCTTAGATGATAATGGCTCACTACTGGCTTCACTTTAAAATTATTTGCTCTAATTAAAGGCGCTCACAGTTGTGGTATAAACAGTAGTTTTAGCTGGAGAGAAAGGGCTGCCATCTCTACTAGGGTTTTTATAGCTCAATAAATTTCCACATTTAATGTCATAACTGGGATAGATTTTCTTTTTTTAAGGTTTATTTGTTTATGCTTATAAGAACTGAGGTACAGGCCAGAGATGTGGGAGGTGAGAGGATTCACCAGAGACAGAGTGGGGAGCAGAACAGGCAGATGGACTGAAATACACTGCTGAGGGCAGCAGTGGGCGAGACGGGAGAGGTCTGCTGCACCGTGTGAGTCCCGCTCCTTGGCTTGGGATCAGATTCATGCTGCAGGCTGTTAGTAGTTTTGGGAAGACTGCACTGGGGCTGTACTTCTAATGCCTCAGTTCAGAGAGCAACTGCATTAAGCTGTACTAAACCTGGAAATAGTGAATGTTTTGATTTTGACAGGAGTCTCGTTTAGAAACTCATGGTTTATCTTTGTGAATTTTAGTCTGATATGAAGTTAAGTAAAAGAAAAAGTAAATGAGTAGGTTTGCATTTTGTAGAAAGGGGCAAAAACTCAATAACATATTAAGCAGCATGACTCTGATTATTATCTGTAGAAGTCTAATTCTCTTTAGGTTTGAAATAACACTACCAAAGCTGTAGTCATAATATATGGTTAGTGGCACCAATTTATTGAATAGCAAAATGTGCAGAATATTTTGTTTTATAAGTACTAAATCCAAAGAATGTTAGGATAAAATTTATCTGTTGTCATTATGGTTTCTAGACTTATGGTATGCTTGAATTCTTAATGTAGAGTTCTATTAGGTACACAGACTTAACTGCTTTACCTCCTTCAGTTTCTTTACCATATTTTTTAAAAAATGGGTATGTAGAGATGGATGCTGAGTGGGAAGTGAAACGTGCTTTTTACATATTCTTTTTTTTTTCAAAGATTGTATTTTTTATTATGCATACAAGAACTGAGGTTGGGGGTGGCAAGGAGGGATGAGAGGATTCACCAGAGACAGAGTGGGGAGCAGAATAGGCAGATCCACTGAAGTATACTACTGAGGGGAGCAGCCGGTGAGACAGGAGAGGTCTGCTGTGCCATGAGGCTGAATTATTTTTAAATTGACTTTTTTTTTTAGAACAGTTTTGGTTCATAGCAAAATTGTGTGGAAGGTAGACAGATTTCCCATGTATTCCTTCATCCCCTGCATACACATTTGTACTTGCCCCATTTTCAAAATGCTTTGCAAAATAAGTTTCTACACTTGTTATAGTCAGTGAACCTACACTGACATAAGGTTATCACTCAGAGTTCATAGATTAAGTTAAAAATTAGTATTGAGTCTTATTTATTATATGGATTAAGATTTATTTATTCATACAGAATTGGGGTACAGGCCAGAGATGTGGAGGGTGAGAGGATTCACCAGAGACAGAGTGGGGGGCAGAACGGGCAGATCGACGAGGTACACCGCTGAGAGGAGCAGCGGGCGGGTCAGGAGAGGTCTGCTGCGCCATGTGGTCACCTCCGGGGTGGGCATCGAAATCATGCGGAAGCGGCTTTAGATTCTCAGTGCTGTGCTTTAACCTGCTGCACCACAAGGGAGGGCCAACTTTACTTTCTTAATATTTAATTCCATTTGTTTCTCTCAAATTCTGCAACAACTTGAGATAGTGTGATGATTTAGGACCTGGAGGTAGACTATCTAGATTAGAACCCACCCCCATTGTTTATAACCTTTTTAACAATAGGATTGTGCAATCCAGCAGTTGCACTCTTGGACATTTACTCCAGAGAAGTTAAAATTTATATCCACACAAAACTTGTCATGTATATTCCTAATAGCACGAAACTGGAAACATCCTATATATTCATCAACAGGTAAATGGTTAAACAAGCTATGGGGCACATTTATTCCAGGCAGTAGCAGTAAAAAAAGAATGAGCTACTGATGCATGTAACAATTCGGGCGGATCTCAAGGAACAAAAGCTCTCAGGTTTTGATTTCATTTAAATGACATTCTTGAAATAACAAAAGTGATAGGAACCTTTTAGTGATGCATCAGTTTTGTGTCTTGATTGTGGTTGTAGTTATGTGAATCTACAAGTTATAAAATTGTATAGTTATACACAAAATAGACTAGTAAGCATTTGTAAAACTGGTATAATCTCAGTAATCTCTGTGATCCATACCAATTATCAGTGTCTTGATGTTTTGATATAATTACACAGAGTGTGACTTACCAGGCCTCCCTGGTGGCACAAGGGTTAAAGACACAGGATCATCAAAGCTGTTGCCAGCCACTGTGGCATGAGTTCTGTCCCCAGCCAAGGCAATAACCCACATGGAGCAGGAGACCTCTCCTGTCTCACCCACTGCAGTGTATATTTCAGTAGATCTGCCTGTTCTGCTCCCCATTCTGTCTCTGGTGAATCTGTTCACTCCCACATCTCTGGCCTACATCTCAGTTCTTGTGTCTATAAATAAATAAATCTTTAAAAAAGTGTTTTAGCATTGGGCAAAACTGATCAAAGGGTAAAGGACCACCTGACACATGTTTTGGGGACTCCTGTGAGTCTTTTAATTATTTCAAAATAAAAAAAGATTTTAAAAGGGTTATTAATGAGGAATAAATGAACAAATATATGTAAGGTTCTTATTAGAATGCTTGGTGCATCATAAATGTATAATGAATAGAATAGCAGCAGCAGCAGCAGCAACAGCAACAGAAGTGATAGGTTAGGCCTCTAACCTCTCACTGCTCACTGGGAACATTAAAATAATTTCTTTTTTAAGGTTCATTTACTTACTTATGCGTACTTATGGGTACAGAACAGAGAAGATTGACCAGAGAAAAGAGTGGGGAGCAGAACAGGCAGATCAACAAAGTACACTGCTGAGGGGTGTAGTGGGCAGTTCTAGAGAGTTCTGCCACACCATGTGGGTCACCTCAGGGCCAGGGATCGAACTCTTGGTGAAGCAGCTGTGTTGAGACCCATTGTGCCACCAAGGAGGGCCCTCAAATAGTTTTCTTAATTGGTCACTGAGTCTTTTATCATTCCATGGATTCCATCATATAGTATAACCTGAGTGCTTTTTCAGAAGTGTCTA